TTCAACTGCCAGTCCCACATCCTAACATCACACATACCTCAGACCAGGATATAAAGCTATAAAGACAGTTCACACCAGTAGACTGAAGGGTGAAATGGAATAACAAGGATCTTTAGGCATAGAAGACTTGAACCAAAGTCTTATCTTTACCCTTTTAACTTATCTGAGTGATTTTAGTAAATCTGTTTTAAATTCTCTAAGCATTATTTTTCCTCATCAATAAAAAATTGAGTAACAATAATACATGCCTTATGTACTTCAAAGGGCTAAAGATAAAATCTAATGGAATCACATTTAGTGCTTTGTAGAATGTTAAGCACTATAAAAATAACTTATGGGAATTTTGGTGACATAAATCACTTTATATAATTTTTGGTGAGAGTTTTGTTTCACGTGGAATACAGATTTTTGTTTTACATAATGCTGCACATTAGTTTGCAATATTTCACTAGTTTACAGAACAGTAGAAGAAATAAAATGATTGCTCCAATGAATATCATGATTAGCTATAAGTTTGTTGCTTCTCTTCTTATACATAATTATTGAATGTGTAATGAAAAGTGCTGCTATATATACTTTGCTCTCATGTAATTTAAAATAGAACAGAATAGTTGTGTACTTTAACTAATGGTAATACATATTTACATAATTATGTTTACTATTAATGTTCTTATTTCCACTTATGGAACCTGCTTTAAATTTTTCAGCATGGCATTAAATAGGGTAATGTGGCACTTATTTGTCTTTGGCAAAAAATAAAAAAAATAAAATTTTTTTAATAGAATGGCTTGAACATTTTCTGGTGGTTTTTTTTTTTTAACTTTTTTTTAACTTTATTTATTTATTTTTCCCCCCCAAAACCCCAGTAGGTAGTTGTATGTCATAGTTGCACATCCTTCTACTTGCTGTATGTGGGACTCGGCCTCAGCATGGCCGGAGAAGCGGTGCATCGGTGCGCGCCGGGGATCCGAACCCAGGCTGCCAGCAGCGGAGCGCGCGCACTTAACCGCTAAGCCACGGGGCTGGCCCCGCACTTTCAATATTTTTTATATTTCTCTTCCAAGTCTCAAGCTCATGCAGGAAGAAAGATAGCTGTGACAGTATTTTAGACCATTATGAAACCAGATAGCTTTTCAAGCTAATTGAGGCACTCCTTGGTTAAAGATGCTCCTTTGCGTTTGACAAGTGGAAGAAGGCAGTACTCAAAAATCGCATGCATCACAGGGGCCCACATGTTACGTGACTGAGATGTGAGCATCCTGGGCAGCCCATTTCCCAGGGTGCTCCCAACCTTGCAACTTGCAGATCATTATATCCACATGCTTTGAAAGTATATGAGAATCTAAATTTCAGATGTTTTAGGAGCTTTTCACGGTACTTAAGAGACAGCTTATACTAACAATACCCTATTATCCACCGAATCACTTTAATAATGACCTCCAAAGTCATTTCCTCGAATATTCTTTCACGTCACTAACTTCTCATCCCTTATTTCATCATTCTGGTCCTCAGAAGGCTTTTATGTAACCTAAAACGTCATTTGTGGGAATAATATAAAGCAGCTAGGCTTAGAGTTTTCTTTTAAAGCAGAGAACAGAAATATATTTATGCAATGTATACATTATCATAAATAAGAATCTTGCACTTTGTGGAACTAAAATTATATAGGTACCTCCTAAAACCCTTGAACACTTAATTAATTCTAAAGTCCAAAGGAAAAATCCAATAGTACCTAATGAATCTTAAATTATCACCTTGCCTTCACATCTAGGGTTTTAATGGGCATGAGGTATGGTTTTAATGGGCATAATGTATTGATTTTTCTTACACTGTTTAACTTAACTCATTCCCTTCCTTCAAAAAACGGTCCTATTAACTACATGCAACTACAAAATCAACATTTTTTAGAAAATAACTTTGATGTTAACAATTTCAAAATATGGCAATATCATCATTAAGCTTAGGAAATTGTAGATTCAAGTGTTTGATATTGATTTTAGGGCTTGCTAAATAACAAGGTCCTGTGTGTGTGTGTGTATGTCTGTGTGTGTCTGTGTGTGTCTGTGTGTGTCTGTGTGTACCTTTAAGTAGATTCCAGTGAAAATACATGGGTCAATACTGTAACTTATAAGTTTGCTTTATGGAAATTTAAAACATTTCATAAAGTAAAATTTTAAATGACTAAGTTTTGGACCAGTTTACAAAACTTACTGAAACTATAAAGCAGTTTAACTGTATTTAGGATTTAACTGCACTCAGGATCTTAAGTGCAGAATAGGAGAGAGTTGTGGAAAGAAAGCAGAAAGTTTCCTTTCCCTTTTCTGACCAAAGGCTCAACCTAAGTTGGAAAAATAAACAGGAGATACAACACTGCAATTAGGATACAGAGTAAGATGGGTCTGAGTCCATCTTACACGGTACAAGACTCTAGAAACGCACTTAATTTCCCTAACCCTTAGGTTTCTCCTTTGTAAAGTGGTGATATTCATAGCTCCACAATGCTGCTGAGAACATCAAAAGCAATAATGAATGTGAAGTCCCCAGCACAGTGCCCAGCATAAAGCTCAATAAATTTGAGTCGTTGGTTTTTAGTATTGTGCTCATACTTGTCTTAAACACTCTTTCACCTCCCTTTCTGATCCCTCATTCATCATCCCGAGCCCACAGTGTCCCCGTTTCCTACCCTATGCCCCTCACCTAGATCTGCTCTAATTCCCAAGGCATTTCATGCTTTGAAATTACTATCGCCTTTCCACTGCTACGAAACATGCAAGAAAAGAGTAGGGCTAGATTATGTCTGCCAGATACTGGGAGGACAGCAATCTGATTAAACTAATCCATTCAAGTATGTAAGAACCTTAATTTTCCTCGCGATATCGGCAAACGTACAAACAAGCAATGAAAAAGCAGTGTAAGAAAATAAAAACTTTAGGAAATATTTAGGAAGTTATTTTTGTACTGGGCAATTGCCACATAGTCAGGCTAATGCTGCCGAAGAGTCACACCTTCCCTACTCTAACTGGGAAGACTCTTGTGAGATATACCACAGCCTGGAGCTCTTCTCCCCACCCTCCCCAACTCTGATTTCAGAGATTCATTGAAACGTTTTACTTAAAAACTCAACAAACCAATTGTAGCAACAAACAGTGCGTCACCAGAGAGACCAAAAGGACAGGAGATGAAAAGAACAGAAAAAGACAAAGAAAGATGGAAAAGACGAAGGCAAAGAAACAATGGGAAAGTAGGGAAATAAAGGTGGAGCAGAGAACTGAACGAAGAGGAAAGGCAGGGCAATCACTAGCCATGAATGACACAGTTTGCCTCAGTCTCGAAAAGAGAACAGGTTAATCTATGTCTTAACTCTGCTAGAGAAGTTAGGAATGAAATGTTGCCTGGAGAGTACTGCATACGTCCATGCTATTATATGGTTGATTTAAAGGACCTGGGATGTCTCCACAAGAACTGAGACTGGGGAAAATTTCACTCACACAAAGAAGAATAATTGTCTAAAAATCAGTCTTAATTAGTCAGCAAATATTGCAGGACAGTCAGTTTCTTCCCTTTTATGTGGCAACTTCCACAGAATATAAAACTCATCAAATGACATCTGATTCGATATGCACATTTTTACCCTCAGAAATACATTTAATTCTCTTTTAGGATTTGAATGACCTATTTTCACATTATTTTGTTAGTTTCTCTATCAATGTTACTGACTTTAGCGGCCAAACTATTTTTCTTCCTTTTAATTTAATTATTCAATTTTGGGGGGAGGGAACAAGTACATTTTTGAAATCTCTTTTCCACAAAACATTACAAAAGTTAGTCAAGTCTACTAAGAAAAATCTAGATTTAATTGACATATTCCAACTAGAGACACTGGAAAATATGAAACAAAAATTCCAATTCTAAATCAGCTGAATACGTTATTGACTCCAAAATCATCGGTTAAAGAAAAGAAATTATATTTGCATTGATGTGTGAATCTGCGTCCATTCTTGGTAGCACATAATATATTCAACTGCTCAGCTCTAGCTGTCCTTGTAGCCACATTACCATATTATTAAAATGTATCTATCATTTATATGTAAATAGACAAGATGAATGGCTTCTTCATAAGACAACAATTTCCAAATGACAGACACAGGCAGACATTAGCGAGATAAAAATGTTGCAAATATTCATTCTATTATATATTTTTAAGGAAAAATGGAAACTATTTCATATTTTTTAAAAAGTAGTCTGGTAATTACAAAATGGGATCTTAATACATTCACAATACCTACAGCTATTCTTCTCAATAAGTCTCCACCAATGTCATTTGTATCTTATAAATTACATGTTCTCAGATCCATCTGTGAAAATTGGGATGTTAATTATCATAGTTACATTTCATGATTCCACAGTTAAATGCTGAAGTGGTGCTACACAAATACCATATGTTTTTCTAAGAGAAATGGAGAAAGATTAATTATGAGTTCAAGTCCAAGTCTTGTAGCAATAATACTCTCAACACAATAAGATCATTTTATTGTGTGCTATGCAAATTGGAAGTTTTAATTAATAGCTGAAACATCAACCAAGGGGAAAAACTCTGAAGTCTAAATTGTAAGTATCAGGCTTTCTTCCACAAAAAATAGCCTAAAATAAGGATGCTTTTGAGAAACCAAGTTACAAGTCCAAAGAAAAAAACATTTTTTATTGTCTGTGAACTTCCTTTGATGGAGTAATCACCATCATGCTATTTAATCCTACTTGATAAACCTAAAAATTACAGTGTACCCTAGTAACAAATAGGTTATAAATAGATAATATATCTGATGAATATTCAACTTAACATTTTTCTAGATTTTTCTTTAAGATAGATATCATACAAAATTATAAGTCCATGTTCTCACACAAAATACTCACTTCAGTATAACAACCTAAAAATGAAACGCTATGATAATACTATAAGAATTTATTCATATTTATAAAATCTGAATTCTTATTTTACTCACCACATATTCAAAGACAAGTGTCAGGGTCTCCTTGGTGTGGATGATGTCATGAAGCAGCACTATGTTAGCATGTTTTAGTCCTTTTAACAGAGAAGCTGTATAATAAAGTGGACAAAGAGACAATTTATCATGAGTAACAACCAACTGATATGTTTCATTATCATTTTTTGACACATTGTCTGATGAAATATATCTATTTTCCAAGCCAATAATAATTCAGCATCAAGGGCAGAGGAGCAAAGTTTTCATTTAGATTACGCTATCCCCAATTATTTCACCTGTTAATTGTTATTAATCTCTACTTATTATGGTCAGAGAACATACTCATATGATTTCAATTCTTTTACATTTGTTAAGGTTTGTTTTATTACCTAGGATATGGTTTATCTTGGTAGATGTGCCATATGTATGTAATATATATTCTGCTGATGTTGAATGAAGAGTTCTATAAATGTTAATTAGATCTTGTTGGTTGATGGTGTCCTTGAGTTCTTCTACACACTTGCTGATTTTCGGAATAATGGTTTTATCAACGACTAAAAGAGAGGTGTTGACATCCCCAGCTGTAATTGGGAATTTGTCAATTTCTCATTTGAATTCTGTCAGTTTTTGCTTTGTGTATTTTGAAGCCCTGTTGTTTACTGTACAGTTACGAGTTGCTTAACGACTGGGATACATTCTGAGAAATGCGTCATTAGGCGATTTTGTCATTGTGCAAACATCATAGAGTGTACCTATACAAACCTACATGGCATAGCCTACTACACACGTAGGTTATATGGTGTGTAGTATGGGACCACCGTTGTTGACCAAAACATCATAATACAGTGCACGACTGTATATACACTTACGGATTGCTATGTTGTCTTTGTGAGCTGGCCCCTTTTATCAATATATAATGTCTCCCTTTGTCCCTGGTAATTTTCTTTGATCTACAGTTTGTTTTGTCTGATATTAATATAGCCACTCCAGCCTGCTTTTGATTAGTATTTACATGGTGTATCTTTTTACCTCTTTTTTCTTTTAGCCTACCAATATCATTACATTTGAAGTGAGCTTCTTATAGACAGCATATCAATGGGTCATATGTTTCTTTAATCCATTCTCCCAATCTCTCACTTTTAACTGATATTTAGACCATTTACATTTAATGTAAATATTAATATATTGGGTCATCTGTCATTTGAATCTATTTTCCCTTGGGCACCTTGTAATTTAGTCATTTCTGATTTGATTTTATCTTTTCTTCTATATTTCTCAGGAGTTCAATTAACTCTCATTTCATTTCATTTTGGTTTTTGTCCATTTCTCTTCTTAGCTTTTTGTATTTCCACTCAAGGTGGTTGTTTTTGTTTCATATACTCAAGAGTCTGAATGAGAAAATTAAATTTAGATTATAGTGTTGTGTACAGTTTTCTTTAATTTTATGGTTGATTTTTTTGAAAAGCGTTTTTATCAGCTGAAATGCATTGATTCATATTTTCTGATTTTTTACAGCAGTTTTGTATAGATGTGGGCTACTTTATTCTATTCCTATTCATTCAATAAACTGGGTTCTTATTTTGAGAGTCCTCTCTTCTATCAGTTCTTCCCTTTTCTGTACAGTTTTTATGGATAGTGCTGTTATGAAAAAGGGAGAGGGATTGGGGTGTCTTGTTTCTTTTTCACTTCTATAGGATCCTTAATTTCTCCCTTTTCTTGACTTCTTTACTTTCATTGTCACGTCTTCAAGGGGTACCATCCTTTCCCTAGATATCTGAATCTCTCCCAGAAGCAATGCTTTCCAACAGCTGCCAGTTCCAGCCCCACTCACTTCTCATCTCCTTTCCTGCAGTCAGTGCTGTGAACTACATGGCGTCCCAGCTTTCTCCTTCTGGAGTGATTTTGTCTGTGCTTTGTCTAAGTCCTCCATGCCCCTCTACTCTCTTTCATAGCCTCTTAAACCTCTCTTAAGCTTCCCCTGTGCCACTCTCTGTAACCACAGGCTTGTTGCTGTCTCCTAATGCTCTCAAAGATATGGGTCACGTGTGTTTTATTTGCTCTCTCTGCTGGATTTATGACTTTTGGAGGAGTGTGAGTGGGAAGATTCAAGATCAGGCAGCCACCATTCATTATCCTTCAAACCTCTTGTCCTATATCAAGGCCTGATACACAGTAGCAACTCAATAAATTTATTGAACGGCATTCATTTAGTTTCCTCAACTCCTCAGAGGGGAGTTTCCTCCCTCTTCAGCAGGGGGAAATATGTATACATATACTGATTTCCTGCTCAGAAAAGGGCCTGCTGTCACCTGGCACTCTTCTTAAGTTTGATCTATCTTCCTTTTATTATGAGACCAGCACTAGCCCCAGATCTCAGTCTGGTGACAGATGACACTCATTTTCAACACAGGGCCCCTTGATATCTACCCCTCCAAAAACCCAGAGAAGACCAGCTAACAATGTTGGCAATTTCAAGATCTGGGCAAGGAACAGCTGGTTCTACCTCTTAAATTCCATTTCCTACCCATACAAGGCTTCTGTCCTTCAGTTAAAAAAAGAATGAGACAACCCCACCCACCATAATCAGACTCATTGTGACACTGCTCATCTCAAAAAAAAAAAAAAAATGAGATTGTTTAAGATTTCACTTTTTATAAATAATATCATAAAGGACATAACTGGGCTTCTTAAAAAATATTTCTTCAGGATTATCTCCCTATAATAAATTGTGAAAAATGGAATCGCAGGGTAAAAAGACATGAACATATTTACAAGATATTACTTATTAATTAAATAATAAGTAGATTTAATCTTACATCTTTCTAACTTTGTGTAAGAATAAAAGAACCATGAAAAATGGAAAAAATATGTAAGAAATAATGTACCATACAATTAACCCATTTTATCAAATAATCAAAATAAACACATGAGCATTTTATATACTATAAGCACAAGCATTAATTTAAGGATAAACTCTTCTTCCTCTGTCAGTGAGACCAGAAATAAATAGAATTATTTCCCCCTACATCAATCACTATTCAGATAGAATACTTAAAGAACAGAATCTTCTACTGTCATTATTATTTATTTTAGTAACACTGTGTTTTCAATTTTGGTTTTGGTATACAAGCTAAAGAGAAAAAAGAAAAATGTTTTGCATGAGTTCTGTTAAGAACTTGTAACCATTCATTTATTCATCAAGTATTTATTCAGAACCTAGTTACTGGCACGAGTGGCCCTGGACAAACCCTGAAGCCTTGATAATTATACTGCAAGACCACATCTTTAAAAAGAGATTTTACAACACCAAGTGTAAACCCTAAGTAAACTATGGAATTTGGGTGATAATGATGTGTCAGTGTAGGTTCATCAGCTGTAACAAATGTGCCACTCTGGTGAGAGATGTTGATAGTGGGAGAGGCTTGGGGAGTAGAGGGCAGGGAGTATACGAGAACTCTGTACTTGCCACTCCATTTTCCGGTGAACCTAAAACTGCTTTAAAAAATAGTCTATTTAAAAAAAATTAAAATTAAGAGATACAACCATGTTTTAGCACACTAAAAGAAAAAGCAAATCTAGATTATTTAATATTTCACTCAAAACGGTATTTTAGATACACAATCACCATGCAAAAGAGGCTGTACTGGCCAGTTCCCAGAGAAGGCAGAGATAAAGCATGTAGACTGTTAAGTTCTGGTATGACCTCAGTGAATATGAGCTCCTGTTATTAGAGTTATTTTTATTGCTATGAATCTCCATTGTCTTTCCCAGGCAAATCTGTTTCAGGACAATATACTAAATCCTTAATCCCAAGATAAACTTTAATAAACACATAATTGGTCTAAATAAGGCCATTCAGACTGAAGATTACTTGGTGTGGTTGGTTCCAACACCAGAAGACAACAAGAAGTGTGTTCCCTCTAAACTGAATCAGCAAGGCCAGAGAAGACTAAGCTAACTACTGTGGGGAGGCCTTCTCTTTCGCCTCACAATGTGTCTGCCATGGGCAAGTTAGTTTTATACGCTAAGAACCTTAGAGCAATAATATCTGCAGATTTATTTTGCCTGAGCTTTGTAAATTAGCACACATGAGAAAATAATGACAAGAATTACAACAAAATCACAGCACATGAACTTTGAAGAAACAACCACTACATAGACTTATGGTAGAGATTAGTATTGTTAATTCCAATAATTTACAATCTTCCTTATTTTAATTATTCAACTAGCCCAGCAGCCTTAAACAATTAAAGCTTTATTAAATAGCTAGCTCTCAGATATTAATCTGAAGACCGACTTCACATTTGCTCATTTTAAAAAGGACACAGAGATCAGTATTTCAAACCACGACAGGGTGTTTGAAAATGGTGGCAGGTATGGTACTTCACACCTAGCCCATGCACGAACGTGTGTAGGTGAATGAAGTAAGGACCTAATGAATATCATGTTGTATGATAGGAGCCTGGCTTCGTGAGGCAAGCTTTGGAAATACATTACATAATATCATTTGTAATTTTGTCCAATTTCATTTTTCAAGTTATCCCCTCAGTTTGTCAATTCAGTGATGATCCATCCTTATCAGTAACAACTCCAAAAAGGTACCAAAGTTTACACTTCACAGAGAATCTCCTTCCCTGAGGATCCTTTGCCTTGGAATTTTTTTTTTTTTTCACTTTTTCCCATTGCCGTCTTTCTTCTCTCACCACCTACACCTAAATTGTTTCTCATTTCTCAAAGTAATCTCTTCACACCCATCATTTCCCCTTGCATTTTCCCTACAATTTCAGTAAAATCAAATCTCTGCCATCATTCATCTTGGGAAAAAATATTTTTTGTTGATGGTGACTAATATTATAGAAAAAACCACGCCATTTTTTATATATTTTGACCATTTCTACATGAAGACTCAAAGCCTCCACATTTCATTCTAATATGTCTCAATTATTACAGATTTTAGATTTCTAAATACATTTATACACACTTTAAAAACACACTACCAGTTAAATAAGTACCAATAACTGTATCTGAATGCAAGCCCTCTTTCTTTTGAGATTAACATAATGAATTCGTATTTGGAAAAAGATAGAGCCACTAATTTCAAAGCTGATAACAG